GCGTTGCGAAAAAACAATGGAAAAAAATATTGAACAAAGAGTTTGCATCAAATTTTGTGTTTCGAACGAAATTTCGTGTGCAGAATCGTTGCGAATGCTACAAAAGGCTTATGGGTAATCAGTTTTATCGAAAACTCAAGTTTATGAGTGGTACAAAGCCTTTCAGGACGGTCGTACGACCGTCGAAGACATGCCGCGTTCTGGACGACCTTCGGCCTCTACCACCGACGAAAACATTGAAAAGGCAAAGGAAATCGTGTTCCAAAATCCTCATGTGAGTGTTAGAGAGATAGCACGAGAGCTAGGCATCGGTCGTGAGAGCTATCCGCCGTAAACGGCCTCAATTGTGGAAGGATAATTCATGGATTTTTCATGACGATAATGCTCCCTCGCACCGAGCCAACATTATCAACGATTTTAAGGCCAAACATTCAATAAATACCATCAAACAGCCACCGTATTCACCTGATCTTGCACCGTGTGACTTTTTCCTGTTTCCCAAACTCAAATTACCACTCAGAGGAACGCGTTTTGAATCCATAGAAGACGAAAAACAGAATTCGCAGAGGGAACTCAAAGCCATACCGGAAAGCGCCTATAAAAAATGTTTTGATGATTGGAAGAAACGTTGGCATTTGTGTATCGCTTCTAATGGAGCATATTTTGAAGGAGATAAAATAAATATTGATGAAGATTAAGAATTTTGCGTTTGTACATTGTGACCGGAAACTTTTCGGTCACAATGTATTGAGTGAAAACAAATACAATATAAGAAAAACATTTATTTATTTGCTTAGTTTACACATTAAGTACTCTCATTGAAATGACTCGTAAATATATAAGTCTTGTGGTAGTTTTGCTCACGTGTCACAACCGATTAGGGAACCATGCTTGAATATTGAAACTCCCTTTTAATCGTTCCTTTCGTTGTTATCGAGAGGACGATAAAAGTGCGTCACTTTTGCGACGTAGTTTTACTATTTTTGGAGAATCTCTTTTCTGAAGAATCTTGGCCAAATCAAGGATCTTTCACTAAAAAGTTGGCTTTTTAACCTCTGAAATTTCTTATACGGTTAAATAATTGGCCAGTAGACCTAAGTGGATCCTTAGATCGCCGGTATCACTTAATCTAACTTACTTTACACATGATCGTCTTTGTGATCGAAATGAATATCATATTTTTTCTATATTTCTTTATGTTATGATTTTAATTTTTACTGCGTTTATATAACATTTTATTTTTAAAAAATATTAAATATGATTCTAGAATTTTAATGATCAGAATCACACGGACTGAAACTATTTTAATATTTAATATTTTAAATTTACTTTTGTAAATTTTGCTTACTCGTATATAATTTTTTTTAAAAAATCATAGATGCGGTAAATATTTTGCAAGTTTTGTTTATTAATGATGAATTTATGCAAATTTAATTTAAATTTTTAATGTTTTTTTCGTATTTGCAAAAAATTAACAAATTTTTATTCACATCCAAAAAATTATTTGTATGCATACATTCATATATTAATAACAATATATCATATATTGAATATTAGTAGAAACTTTGGAAAACTTTTTATTTATAAGTGATAATATCCAAACTTTCATTTTCATATATATATTTGGTATAGGTCATCTAATAATATAGTCATCTAATAAAAATTTATATTGTTATTTATTCCTTCATTGTAATTGTTTTTTATAATTTATAAGTGTTGAATATTAATTGTATTAAATAAAATCAATATATTTTAACGGACTTAATAAGTTTAAAATTTGATTTTAAACTTTGTATAGCATTTTATATGCATTTAAATACACTTATCCTCATATCTTCAAGTGATAGGGATTAAAAACAGTTTCAAATTTATTTTTGGATAAAATTTCAACACTTTTTTAAATACTTATTACTTCAAACTATTCAACTAAATCTTTTTCTTTTCACCATATTTGTCTAATTATTATATAAACAATATCTTTAAAAAGGTTTGTATATTATATAATCTATTTGAACTTTTTTTATGTAAAATATGCGTCTTTTTCATATTTATATATATATATATATATATATATGTGTATACACAAGTGCGTACCACCAGCAAATTTTCGAGTAAATAAGAACATATTAGAGAGCGTAACATCCCTGTACATTTTATTTCAAGTAAAATGTGTGTTGATGTGTGAATCAGCTGTTTTGGTTTGAATTAAAATTTTTATATTGTATATTTGCGCGGCCTGGTGTCCTCACCAGACTTTACACAAAGCTATTTCATGAAAATCTGTGTAAAGAGCATAATTTGACACTTTATTTGTGTAACGTTTTCAGTTTGTATTTTACTTGTGTTTTACTTGAGTTTTACTATGAGCAAGTCGTGAAACAGCCATATTATTTTATATATATTTTTTATATATATTTTTTATATATATTTTTTATATATATTTTATATATTTTTTATATTTATAAATAGGTACATGATTTATTTAAGCTATAACCTGGTTATTAATACTTTTATCTAATTGAACAGTGTTACAGAGACAGTCGTATGACGACTGGTTACATCAGTTTTATACTCTTTCTGATCATGATTACGAATATATCTTATGGATTGACAATCTCAATTGTCAATCTCACATCATTTCGATATTTTTTGGTTGTTCCTATGTTCCTAAATTTGAAAAGTAATACGTTTTTGTGGATTTGTAGAAATTTTTTAGTTTTGACTTAACTGACGAAATACAGAAAGTTTCCTCACCATGTCCATAGTTTGATCATATAATATATTAGCCTTTTACTGTATTTAATATTTGACGGAACCATGACTGTCTGCATAACATACAGATAGAGATAATTATGCTGTGCAACTTATGTGCTGTTATTTTAAGGCTAAATAAGGTGTTTTATACTCTTAAGATATCAGTTCTACCCGTTTATTGTATGAAAAACAAATCTATTCATTGCAAAATGAATTATTCGAGTAGTTCGAATATAAGCGAATAATTCGAATAGTTTAATATTCGTATTTGATATTAGTATAAAACTAAATTTTAAATTTTTGTTTTTTTTTATTAAATAATTAAGAAATACAAAATTTTCTTTTTTTTTTGGAGATGTATTCTTGTGTTTTGAAAGTAATTTTAAGGATTGTTAGGTACAGGCTTTTCTTTATTTAAATGCTTATGTGGAACAAAATAAACAATTTTTAATTGATGTTTTATTATTTTTTATTTTAAAGTTTTGTTTTAAAGTTTTGTTTTAAAGTTTATTTAACTTCTTCCTCAGAAGGAGGTATTACAAAATTCATTAAAAAATGCAAATGTGATTGTAATTAAGTTGTTAACAGTTTAATTTGTTGATACTGTGCTTATATTTATTCATTCGCAAATTAATTTAAAATGTTAATAATATAATTTCCTTACAAAAATTATAATTTGTACTAATTATAATTAATTTGACATCAATTAATTTATTTAAATGAAAATAATATTAATTTTTAAGCAAACAATTTTATATTATTAAAAAATTACAGCTGGTCTGTTTATATGATAGCTTAATTCAAATCTGAACTGATCTGGTCAGATTTTAATTGAGTTGTGTGAAATTAAATAAATAGCACTACTTCAAAGGTTTTAAAAAAGATCACATCATTATTAATTTGTATACAATAAAAATTATTTTATATATATATATATATATACAAATTACAATATACATATGTATTTTTAAGAATATACATATCTGATTAATATACTGAGTTCTTATATATCAATATGTATATATTTGTACACATACGTATGTATCTTTGAAATCCCTGTATAAAAACAAAAATATACAATAAAACTTTCTTCTCAAATATCATTCAAATAAATATCGAATCAAAAGTATAAAAAGTTCTTATAAAAAAAATTTTTCTAATTATGTACTTTTCAAACGCAAGAATATTTTATTAAAGCGGAAATTTATTTATTTTAAAACATTTGAAACAAAAATTTAAACTTTTTAAACTGTCCACAAAAGCACAAACCAGGAAAACACGAATATTGAACTATTAGAATTTTCGAACTGCTTGAAATTTCGAATCGTGGATATTAAAGCATTCAATAGAATGAGATACAAACGAGTAGTAGAGTACATATGCTCTACGCAGAGTAAATAAAAGAAATTTCAAACATTTAAAGACTATTTTGCTTACCTAAAAACATTTCTTTTATAAAATCATTTTTTTAAATTCTATGGAACAGTTTTAAAATCCAACACTTAAGGGACCCTTAAGTTATGTAAAATGAGTTAATGGTTTTTACAATGTAAAAATTAAAAGTTTTTAAAAATAAAATTGCAAAAAAATTTTTAGATTTAAAAAAACATGACGAATTTTTTCAATTTCGCATTGCTTTCAAAGTTAGACTCCCAAAACGACACCCTTTTGATTTTTGACAAACTTCTGTTATCAGATTTTGTTGAATTTAAATTATTTTATTTGAAAACAAAATTGCAAATTTTTATTGTTTTTGTATACAAATATTTTTTGATCATTCTTATGTCAGCTGATTGCTACCATAAGCATCCCCAAGCAACTCGCATAAAATCGATGATAAAATTGCAAATAATAATTAAGGTCGTGTGCGAGTTAGGCTAAGTTGATGCTAAACCAAATGGGAGATTTTTTGGGATTTTTTGCACTGCACACATTTTGCCATTTATCAACACGTATCGACACATCAATACATTATCGACACAATTTAGAATTTCCCTCATTTAAAACGCAACTTAGCCTAACTCGCACACGACCTAAGTTTCAAATCAACATAACATAAGTGTATGAAATTCGTCCTATAAGTTCAATACAATAATCAAAAGTTTAAATAACGTTTACACTATCGTAATTGACTGGACATAAGTACAGTTTGTTCATACAAACATGTGGTATTGAGTTTCAATACATATAAATGTAAGCATAATGTCAGAAGGCTGTGAAAATATATCAACCCTGCGCTTTCAAAAGTAAAAGTTCAGCGTAAAACAAAACTAAAACTATTTTTCTAAAGTCTGAAGTCGACATTTGTTTTCACTTGAAATTTAATCGGAAGTTTAATTTTTAATTTTGTTATTTATAAGAAAGTGCGTAAAAAATGCTATCCCAGTTGACCGTAAGAAGAATTCAAAAGGAGATGGGAATGCTTCAGCAAGACCCGATAATAGGCATTAGTGCCGAACCAGTTGACGAAAAGTTAGATAAATGGTTGGGAAAATTTCGCGGTCCGGAAGGTTCTCCATATGAAAACGGAGAATTTAAAGTTTCAATTATTTTTGGTGCAGATTATCCATGTGGACCACCTAAAGTGAGAATGATTACCAAAGTGTTTCATTGCAACGTAAGTGTGCATGGTGGAATTTGTTTAGATATATTGAAGAGAAATTGGTCACCTGCTTTAACGGTTCAAAAATTACTTCTATCATTAATGTCGCTTCTGGCAGATCCGAATCCAAGGCATGGACTAAATCAGGATGCAATAAACATGTATTTAATGGATAAGAAGCAATATGAAAAGACAGCGCGTGAATGGACAGAGAAGTACGCTTAACCAGTTGATGTCAAGTCATATGCAAATGCAGAATAAATGGATTATGGGAATTTCTTTAAAATTCTTTTTTTTATGAATCTTTTAATTAAAAATCTACTTTTTAATATTTTTAATAACGTACACTAAATTTTTGATTTCAGAAAATTTAAATAATTTAAAAACTTTTTTGCTATTTAAACATTGTATGTATGATATTTAAATTGTTTCCTACGCATTTGTATTGTAAAATTGTCTTGTAAAATATTTACAAATTTTTAATATTTTATGTAATTTTAAGTTTCAAAAGTACAAAGTTAATAACTATTTTCTATATTATTTTTTGCGATATTTTATTTTAAAAGATGATTTTCAATAATTGTAATCTGTTACCTTTGTATGTCTACTAAAGACCTTCATCTTTCACCTCTTAAACTTATAAATGTATATAGACAAAATTAAAAAAAAAACGATTTTATTTTCTAGAACTGCCCATTAGTATATACTTAACTAATACTATGGATATATGCTTTTGACACAAATTTTAAGTATACACAATTTCAACATATGGCAAAGTCTTTAATATATTTTTGCAATTTAGGCACTGATTCGAGTACCGCGCATTTAAAACCCTTGACTAAATGCAGTAGATATAGTTGTTTTTTATCGATATGGTCAGACATATCAGTATCTACCTTACCGTAAAGAACCAATAGGAACAGCTCTATTGTCGCTGAAACATATAACGCTGCGAAAAATGTTATATACTACATACGTATATATAAAAAGCCAAAAATGAAAAAAGTGTAGATATATTTGCGATCGCATGGCGCAACCAAGATTAAAGGAAAACCAGATTCATTCTGAAACAAGGTAATAAGGATATGATAATGTGATAAGATACACATCTGTATTGTAAAATTTTTGTTACATAAAACGATGTAATGGTAATGTAAGTAGAACTATCATTGGTTGCTTTGAATATAGTAACTTGCACTGATGCATGCTACTGATAAGTATTTTGCTACATCGTTATTAAATATTAAACTATTGTTAGTTTATATATGCAATATATAAATTTATATATATAGCATAAATAAAAGTATATTGCTCTATGACAACACGAGATTCTATATTCAACATTTATCTTATTGATTAAAATCAGTTGTGCTTATCGTATAGCTGCTCTTAAAACCATAAAATTGAAATTGATATCCTTTGTTAGTAAAAGGAATTTAAATGACCAGCTTATCCAATAGTCACCATTTAAACTATGAAAAGGATTAAACGATTTTTCACTGTTTTTTATACGTATTAAGGTTATGTAGGTTTTTTTTAGGTTATGTTAAGCATAGAAAAACATTCAGAACACTAATCAAATTTTTTAAGTAATGTAACTTTATTAAATAAACGTGTTTAAACCCTACGAAAACAATAATGCACTTTATAAACAAGCTCAGGCTTGTTTCCGATTAAAACTGTTCAAAAGTGTATTATTGAAATGCTGATTTAATATTCGCATTGAAAATGTTAATTTTGATGGGTGCTTACATTCCGGCTACTCTATATAGACTCTTGAAGTTTCCAAATGCGTTTCTTGTGTTTCCTTAATCCGTTGTTTACAACAGCTATTGTACCACCATCCGCCAAAATAGTAAAGTCTAAATATTCAAAATGTTCTATATTTTGAATACAGACGGTGAAAAGCGGTGAAACATCACTGGCGTTTATTATCAGAGGCTCAGTTTTAATGATGCTAATTCTATTATTTTCTAGAGCTCAACACTATCTAATGTGTGAACATTTTCAAATCGTTCAAATTTGTTTTATTTTTCACTTGCTCAATTTTTCAAATTGCAATAATTCTTGTGTTTAGTGTTGTAGGGGTTTTTTGTTTTTTAACATTTCTGTCCATGAAATATTACAAGCATATCTACCAAGCTGTCTTCGTGTGTCATCTGAAATATGTAATTTATTTTATTTCATTCATATATTTTTTTGATAGTAAACACTTACTGTTTAATGTGGCACCTATATAAACAACCCTCAAACTCAGCATGCCACTTCAGAAAAGTAGTGCATGTAGTCAGTGTAGTGTAGTTAAGTGTTGGAACTTAATAAGAGTTATCACTTTTATAAAAGTAATTAACCAACTGATTTTTTAAAATTATTCACCATTTTAATGCGATCATGGCATCCATAAGGTTCGTATTGTCCCTTCTTTTTGGAGCTATTCATGCAATTGACTTCGACAATGCTTGCTAATTATTGGCAGCCTTTAAATATAATTGTGAATGCCATTATAATATATGAAGATATATATTTTAATAAGTTCGTTTATTATCCGAAAAAAAAGTGTGTATTTTTTTTTGGTGAGGTTTGTAAATTCTTACATATCTTTTAATTTACATTTTTGTAAAGTATTGGCATTTTGAACAGCTGTTTGCTAGGCGCTAAATTTGAATAAAAAATAACTAAACAATTTTTTTTGAAATGATCGGATTTATTTAATAAACTAAATAATACTGATATTGAAAATAGTATCATTACTTTGGAGACTTAAGCATGATATAGACGAACTATAACAACAAAAATTCATTTTATATTATTTGAATTAATTGAATTTTTGGCTGTCCATACAGCTGTTTCGAGTATTAATTATTCGTAATTATTCGTACCAGGAATCGAACTCGCGTCCTGCCAGATTTGAAGCTCAGAGTCAGCGCTCCTTAGCCAACTGATCCAAAGCCGTACTTGACTTTTATGTTCGTACACTTTTCTGAAGTTTTTTTTAATTTGCTGTGAAAGTTTTATTAATAAATTCACTTGCTGTGTTTATATTAGAACGAAATCATAAACCAGCTGTAGAATAATTGAATTAATCAATTATATTTTTATTTTTAATTGTTAAATTTTAATACTATTCTGTTTGTACAGAATAAAATACTGCATCTACGGTTTTCACGTAGATATTTTCCTCAGAACGCAAATTTTAGTTACATATGGAATTGATTAAATATTTTTGATGCAAAATCGATTTTTTATATTTTGATTTATATATTTATTTGAATTGAATAAAAATAATTAAATTATTAATTAAATCATGAATAAAATTAAAACATACGAAAAACTGTTCTAGAAACTGTAGTTCTATAAAATGTTAGTTAATTGTTTAGGTTGACTTTTGCATTTTTGTTGATACTGTATTCGCTTTTTGTTTAGATAAACACATATTGGTGCGGTGGGGTACGGTAGGGTACTACAATATTATACGATCTCCGGTAACTATACAAAGAATAGTTAGATTGCAATACACGTAAGTTTAAGTCACATTGATGCAAATAAATACTTAAATGGGAAATACTAAATTAAATTGAATCTAATTGCTTATTTCATTGCATAAAATGTAAATTACTGTGGCAATTAAAATTAATAAATGAAGTATAAAGATTTTTGCAAAATGTTGCATCTGAAATTAAAAGAATATTTTTAAAGTTTCTCTATTTACATTTCTTGAAGACAAATTACAATATGTATGTATATATGTTTTAAAACAAATAGTTTTTGCAGAATAAAACGAAAATTTTATTAGAATGGTATACTACCAATTGGGTAAAAATGAAATTTAATGAATTTAATGTATTTAATAATGATGAAGTCGTTGTTTACTTTCGGCGTTGGTCGTATACTGACCACCTAGTCTATGTACGAATGATCGTTATTCCTGTGGTACCACAAGGGACAGAGTTCTGAAGCTATATGCGAAAACCGACAGGCTGCCCTACTTAGCACTATCTAATCTCAGAGTTATCAGTAACCGCACAAAGCGGTACGCAGATCTTAGATCAATCATTGAATAATCACGAAGATTATTAGGAATACTCAAATTAGTCATTGAGATGGGCGGGACTCCGCAGAATCCTCCTAGCTATCATAGAGTAAAAGTGTCCAGATGCATTAACTTGGAAAAGTCTTAACATAGCATAACATAACCACAATGGGCCATTATTTGAGCTCAAGTGGGCTTTCTTGGTACACAAGGCCGTCACTCCAACCTGACCTAACCTAACTTAATGTATTTAATACATACAGTATATTTTCGTGTAGTATATATATACATAATTAAATATATTTTTGAAGCCTTTTTACAAAACAATAATATAAACAAATAATATATATAGAGTGGCCACCTAGTAAGTTATTTCGATGAAACCATCTAAAACCAAATTGCAAGTTAATAATAAAATAATTAGTTCGATTTTTCTGGACTTTAATGCTTTTTTTTGCTTTCGTGAATGCCATTTTTATTTTATTACTTTTACTACAAGAATTAAACGAAATTTTCTGTCTTATAATAAAAATGACTATCTGCTGCCCTATTTGTTTTTCAGTAGATGAAAAGTATTGAAAATCTCTGCATAAGATTTCAATTCAGTGCAATTTTTTCTATTAAATGAATTGCGAAAAATTTAAGTCAGTTATCCTTAAACAACCAATAAATAAAAGTCCTTTTCCAGCTTTAACAGTTTGCATTAAACGTAGTAATAAATTTTGTAGACCTGGCAACCTTTGATTATTACTTGTTCCTGTCTCTAGTAAATTTTGGGATTTACAAAAAGGATGTTAAATTGACAACAGACCTGTATACTTATATAATTAAATAAAATATATACACGCTTTAAAAAAGCATATATTACTTCTACCACAAAAAAAACAAAACTGTGATTTTTTTCCAAAGTCCACTTTTACAAATTTTCCAGGGGACTTAAAAAATAGAATAATTTTTTTTTTTTTTTTTTTTTTTTTAAATTTTTCTTAAATTTAGTTTTTGTGCTAGAAAACCCTGCTTATGTAAAAGAATTTCATAATTTACCGATTCTATATAAGTTCTATCTCTTAGGATTATATCTGTTATTTGGCTACGTTGAAAAATTTAATAACCTTTTAGTTTATTATTTTGAAATAAGAATCTCAATATTTGTTTTATTTTTTGCTAGTAGGAAATACTGATGTTTAAGCATATTTTTTTAAATATTTTATGTATTTGTTCAAAAAGGTTATTGAATTT